AAAAAACGGAGTACACATTTTTCTCAAGCGCACACGGATCATTCTCCAGGATCGATCACATACTCGGGCACAAGACAAACATCAACAGATACACCAAGATTGAAATCATACCAACCATCTTTTCTGACCACGAAGGCATCAAACTAGAAATAAATCATAAAAAGAAGGCAAGGAACTATCCTACCTCATGGAGATTAAAAGCCACACTATTGGAAGACCACTGGACTAACGAGGAGATCAAAGAAGAAATTAAAAAATTCTTTGAATTGAATGACAAGGAGGACACCAATATCCTAAATGTATGGGATGCAGCAAAAGCAGTAATAAGAGGAAATATATAGCAATAGAAGCTCACATCAAAAAACAAGAAAGAACTCAAAGAAACAACCTAATCTCGAAGCTCAAAGATCTAGAAAAAGAACAACAAAAAACCCCAACCAGTAGAAGAAAAGAAATGATAAAAACCAAAGCAGAAATAAATGAAATTGAAACTAAAAAACAATCCAAAAGATAATGAAACCAAGAGCTGGTTCTTTGAAAAAATAAATAAAATAGACAAACCCCTAGCCAGGCTCACAAAGGAAAAAGGGAGAAAGCACAAATACACAGGATCATAAATGAAAGAGGAGAAATCACAACGGACACAGCAGAAATCAAAAGAATAATCAGTAACTACTATGAACAGTTATATGGAAACAAGTTCAACAATCTAGAGGAGATGGACAAATTCCTACAACTCTACAATCACCCAAAGCTAGATAAAGAAGAAATAGAACACCTAAACAGACCAATTACAAGCAGCGAAATTGAAATGGTAATCAAAAACCTCCCCAAAAACAAAAGCCCAGGACCTGATGGATTTACAAATGAATTCTACCAAACATTCAGAGACGAATTAGTGCCTATCCTTCACAAACTCTTCCAAAAAATTGAGAAGGAAGGGACAATACCAAACACGTTCTATGAAGCCAATATTACACTAATACCAAAACCGAATAAGGACAACACAAAAAAGGAAAACTATAGGCCAATCTCCCTAATGAACACTGATGCAAAAATCCTCAATAAATTTTAGCTATCAGAATCCAACAATGTATCCATAAGATAATTCACCACGACCAAGTTGGATTCATTCCAGGGGCACAAGGATGGTTTAACATCCGAAAATCAATCAACGTTATACAACACATCAACAAAAAGAAATATAAAAACCATATGATAATATCAATAGATGCTGAGAAAGCTTTCGACAAGTGCAACACCCATTCATGATAAAAGCCCTTGAAATTCTTGGGATACAAGGAACATACCTCAACATCATAAAGGCCATCTATGACAAGCCAACAGCCAGTATCATTCTCAATGGTGAAAAGCTGAAAGCAATTCCATTAAGATCTGGAACAAGACAAGGATGTCCACTCTCACCACTGCTTTTCAATATAATACTGGAAGTCCTAGCCAGAGCAATAAGACAAGAGAAAGACATCCAAGGAATCCAAATTGGAAAAGAAGAAGTCAAACTATCACTATTTGCAGATGATATGATAATATACGTAGAGAACCCCAAAAACTCCACAGAAAAACTAATTCAACTCATCAATCAGTTCAGTAAAGTGGCAGGATACAAAAATCAACACGCAAAGTCAGTAGCCTTCCTATACACAAACAATAAATCTGAAGAAGAAGAAATCAAAAAAACCACCCCTTTTATTATCGAAACAAAAAAAATCAAATATTTGGGAATAAATCTAACAAAAGAGGTAAAGGACCTATACAAAGAAAACTATAAAACACTGTTAAAAGAAATAGAAGAAGACACAAAGAAATGGAAAGACATCCCTGCTCATGGATTGGAAGAATAAACATTATTAAAATGGCCATCCTACCAAACAGCAATATACAGATTCAATGCTATTCCAATCAAAATCTCAATGGCATTCTTCAAAGAAATAGAACAATTATTGATGAAATTCATATGGAATCACCAAAAACCCTGAATAGCCAAAGCTCTACTGAAAAAAAAGAAGGAAATGGAGGCATCACACTCCCAGACTTCAAACTATACTACAAAGCCATAATCATCAAAACTGCATGGTATTGGAACAAGACAGACATACAGACCAATGGAATCGAATAGAAAATCCAGAAATAAACCCACAGATTTATGGTCAACTAATCTTTGACAAAGGAGCAAAGACTATGCATTGGAGCAAAGAAAGTTTGTTCAATAAATGGTGCTGGGAAAACTGGGTCGCTACATGCAAAAGAATGAAGCTTGACCACTACCTCACACCATACACAAAAATCAACTCAAAATGGATTAAAGAACTAGACATAAGACCTGAAACCATAAAATACATAGAAGGAAATATAGGCGAAACACTACGGGATTTGCACATCAAAGACATCTTTACAGACACATCACCCAAAGCAGTGATAGTGAAGAGAAAGATAAACAGCTGGGACTACATCAAATTAAAGAGCTTCTGCACAGCAAAAGAGACAATAACAAAAACAAAGAGAAACCCCACCAACTGGGAGAACATTTTTGCACCCAACACTAATGATAAAGGACTGATCACAAAAATCTGCAAAGAGCTGATGAGACTCAGCAACAACAAAGAAAATAATCCAGTCAAAAAATGGGCAGAAGAGCTAAAAGAAACTTCTCTGAAGAGGAAATGCAAATGGCCAACAGGCATATGAAAAAATGTTCAACATCACTTGTATCAGGGAAATGCAAATCAAAACTACCATGAGATACCATCTCACACCAGTGAGAATGGCACATACTAAAAAAACTAGCAACAACAAAATGTTGGCGAGGATGTGGAGAAAAAGGAACTCTTGTGCACTGTTGTGGAGTGCAAACTGGTCCAACCATTATGGAGAGCTGTGTGGAGATTTCTGGACCTACTAAACATAGAGCTTCCATATGATCCAGCAATTCCACTCCTAGGTATTTACCCAAAGGACACAGAAACATCAATTCCAAAGAGCACCTGCACTCCTATGTTTATAGCAGCACTGTTTACAATAGCTAAGCTTTGGAAACAACCCAAATGCCCAAAAATAGATGACTGGATAAAGAAGATGTGGTACATATATACCATGGAATATTACTCAGCATTCAAAAAAGATAAACACATGCAATTTGCAGCAACATGGATGGCACTGGAAGGGATCATGCTCAGCGAAATAAGCCAAAAAGAAAAAGAAAAATACCGGATGGTCTCACTCATGCAGGAATCTAGAAAACTTAATTAAGGGACCAGGAAAATGAATATAAGAAAGTGAAAATCAAAATCAACAAAAAACTATGAACAGAGACACTTTTTGGGGTGGGGGGGCGGGAGGGGAAGGATTGGGGTCAGAATGGGCGTTTGCAATTGTATGGGGGAATATAAAAATAAAAAGTTAATATATTAAATTAAAAAATAAAA